GATCTGCAGTGTGGGCTCTAAAGCAGGAATGCAAACCAGATCTGCAGTGTGGGCTCTAAAGCAGACGGGGCCATGAGGAGGAAGATCAAAAGTTTAGGGCCAGTTTGGGCAATTTAGTGAGCTCCTGCCTCAAAATAAAAGTAAAAAGAGGGGTAAGGGCACATTCAGTGACGGAGTGCTTGCCTAGTGTGCACAGGCCCTGGATTCCCCCCAGCATCGCCATAAAATAAATAACCCTTCATGTTTTTAAGTCCCAGTTTACATAAATTAGGTTAAAAACCTCAAGTGAAGGTACAGATTTTCTGTTTTCTGCTCTACACAGAGGTCCCTCTTAAGAACAGAAGATGGACAATGGGGACGATGGGTCAGTTACCATCTGAAGTCAAAGTCCTGACTGTATACAGTGAAAAAGGATGGGGGGCTCAGCACCCCGAAGAGAGCACAGTGGAGTCAGCAGCCGACATCTTGGCACCCCAAGCTGTCGACACCCTCAGTCCTTACGCTCATCACTTCCTCTGCGCGGAATGCATGTTTCAAATTCCTTGTTTGGTTTTTGTTTTTTTTTCATGAAGCAAGATAAAATTAGACAGCTAAGTTAGAACAGGCAATCTGCCAGGCATGGGGCACATCCCGCAGCCCCAGCACTTCCCAGGCCTGGGCAGAAGGACTGACTGCCATGACTCAATCCAACCAGGGCCCCACAGTGAGACCTCACCTCAAACACAAAGCAAAACCAACTAACGAAAAAAGAAAGAAGAAAACAAACATGGAACGCTTTGAAGATTTTTAGAGAAAAATAAACTGCAACCCAATACCCACCTGCAATGATCTCCCGGAGTTTGGGATCTAGGTTTACGGTGCAAGGCAAAAAGGTCTTTACATCTCGAGCCACAAGTACTGGGGTTCTTGATGACAGAAACACTTCAAAATTCCGTATGTCTCCATCAATTTCAAGCAGTGGCTCAACATCTTTGGTTGTTGGAATATTCTTTGATATTCTTCGAAAAGAGAGAAACGAAAAGTCCATTAACACCGTTATAAGAGTCAAACTCCGCATTCTTAAAACTAGTTGCTTCTGTCCACAAGGAGCATATTACACACCTTGTTCTCAATTGAAAAATATCTTTAAGATAAGGAACCTAAAAGAGGAAAAATAATAATAATTCCAAAATGACTAAGATCAGAACTTCACCTATTTGGCCAAGAGCAAGGTATGGACCAGAGAGACCAAGAGGGAAAGGAACAGGGACACCAGGGACACCAGTCAGCTGCTCCCTCTCACTCACGGAGATGGGCTACAAGTGCACTGGAGGGAACTGGGGCCTCAGAAAGACTGACAGCTCCCGCATCACACGTCGAGGGAGAGGCTGGCTCAGAGACTTGGGCTCTTCCATGGGACACCATGGCTCTTTTTTCAGGGGGGGAAAAACTTTTAAAATAAATCACACAAACTAGAAAAGTGTTAGCACAGGTTATTTTCATCTCTGTAAAAGATTATTTTCTATTGTGCAAGTAATATACGCTTATTGTATAGATAGTGTATGCATAGATATGACTGCATACATAGATGTGATAAAATACAGTAATTGCTATTATAATGTACTCTTATTTTATGTGTATTTTTTTCATAGCTGAGTTCAAACAACAAACAATTTTGGATCAAGCAGAAATTCTCAAATGTAAAAATAATTGAATTTTAGTCATTAAGAACACTTAATAGATACTGTTGCCGTGATCAATAAGAAATTGTCTTGAAAGAAGGAAAACGGTCAAATGCTCCAATGCTGCATGGTGCTACTCCCAGCTAAACACTAGCAGTCAACAGCTCTGAGGTGCACAAGAGAATGTACCAGAGATAAAGGAGTAAGAAGCGTACCGGAGCTTTTCAAAGGTGTAGACGAGAAAACTGGGAGTAGCCGCAGTGTCCCCTAACTGGTGCATGGGTACAGAGTGGAGCAAGGGCCGTATCACAGAACACAAGCTAGCAATAAAAGGGAGGGTCTCGCCGGCACACGTGGACCGATCTCATAATAAACTAGGAGTCCAGCCGATCTGCAGCAGGTAGATCCCAGTCCCTGCGACGCTGAGGGGGTGGGGGAGGGTGACCAAGGATTGCAAAGAGCCAAGAAGAAACCTGCCTAGGCGACGGGCGTGCTCACCTTTCTGACTGAAAGGACAATTTCATGATACATGCAAACACCAAATGTGAAACCGGACAGCTTCAGCACCGCCGTTTACTTCTGCGAACTACGTCTCCCGGAGCTAAGTCCTGGTGTCGCTCTCTTGAAAGCACTTGCCAATTACTCAAGAGCATTGTGCTCTCGGGTTGCACTAGGTCCCATTTTAGGGGAGAGAACCTTTTCCTGATCTTCCCAAGTGAGATGGAACCCTACGCTAAGATTAGCAACAGCTGCATCTTTTCTTTGGGATCAGCACTTTATTGCTGAGACCCAGTACTTGGCTGGTAGCCAGATATTAAAAGTCATCCGAGGGAAAATCCAGAGAACAAAATTAGCAAACAAGGAAAGAACAGGGCACTGGGAGAAAACAAGGCAAGCAATTTCATCTTGTGGATTTCACAAAGTCTTGCTACAGACTCACACACGGACAAAACAGAAAGCTCTCTGAAATAAGATTACTTTTATAAAGTAAAACAGCACTCAAGCTGATTGTTAAATACATTTAAAGTGTAATGAAAACCTGGGAAATGATCACACGGTATCATTTGCAAAGGTAGAGAACTATCAGAAATGAAACAGTTAAAAAGGTAGTTCGTTTATTTCAGGAGTTTTACACACAAAAAGACGGGAGGCCAGGGAGATTGAGATAAAAACACACAGCTGACAAGTCACATGAAACAAATTAACCGAATCCTAATGCCAGCGTCGCTTTCAGCCTGAATGCGAACAGTGTTCTCAGCGTGGTGAACAATGCTGCTGTTCACAAGCCAAACGGCTACTGCTGCTTCCCAGATTGAAGTCTCTATTCTAACCTTTTGAGCTCGATGCATTAAGCCCTTCTGTTAAAAGAGACGTTTATGTAAATGATAATCTTTTGGCAGTGGGCCATCAAAATCATATGGGCCTTTATTTTTCAGATATTTTTTCCAAAGGTTAGCATTTAAAGAATTTAAATAACTTCACTTTTCAATTAAGAGTGAATTTAAATTTTCAGCACTATGAATCATGGGAACCGAAGTTCCCAGCAGTTAAATGGCCCACAGAAAGCATTCTTACGACCTCAGGCCTCAGCCAGCGCCCAGGAAGTTGAAATGTAGTTTCTTTTGATGCCACTAACGGAAGAGCTCTTGTGAATGCCAACATCCATGTAAGTTAAAGCGTCCTGATTATGAATGGCAGTGCTTTATAGAAGGCACACCTTAGTTATTGGCAGAAATCACATAAGCCTTTTATGTCACTGCCGTTCAAAGTAAGAACCAAAACTGCAGAGGAAATTTCCTACCTTAAAGTATAAGCAGATCATAATGTATAACTTATGAAGATATTATCATATTTTTCTGAAGCTAGTCATCTAATAACATAATTATTTAATAAGGGGTTATAAATTAAGATTTATTACCCAATTCTCTCTCAGCGATCACCAGGCAACCCAATTGTCTTTATAAACTCTCGCCTGCCTTGGAACTGTATTACACTAGAGACGAATTTAACTTCCAGGAGACTGTCGTGTTAATACACAGACACAAACGGCGAGTCAGCGCTGGGAGTAGGTTAGTGGAAGGGCGCTTGCTTAGCACACACGGCCCCACGTTTAATCACTAGCAATGAAGGGAAAAGTAATAAAGCCACCCAACTGCATTGCCAGAGTCAGAAACCAAAGATACCACACAACTCATTCTAAAGATAATCTTAAATTATATATAGGTGTGTGTGCCTGAATGTGGATATACGAAACTCATGGAGGCCAGAAGCATTGGATTCCCTGGAACTAGAATTACAGAAGTTTGTGAACTGCCATATGGATACTGGGAACCACACTTTAGTCCTCTGGAAGATTAGCAAGTGCTCTTAACTGCTGAGCCGTCTCTGGTTCCACAAAACTCATTTTTACGACCACTGTTTCTGTGGAAAGACAACCCAAACTCTACTCACTCCCCTCTGTCTTCACCCACTTATTTCTCAGCCGTTCCCCATCTTCAGCACCATTCTCCCGCTTAGCGATGGCTTCTGTAGGGACAGCTCATCTTCCTCTGACGACAGACCCGCATGTTCATGTCACATGTGCATCTATCTATTAGTGGAAATACCTCCTTAAACATCTTACTCTCCTCCAGACTGTCATTCCCATCAAAGTTGAGAGCAAGTTTGGCTTTAATCACTAGTGTATCTCTAGCGCCTTAGCATAGAACACTGTTAGCACGGTTACTCTAGACATATTTGTCAAGTAAATAAAGTCACACACACACACACTCACTCTCTCTCTCTCTCTCTCTCTCTCTCTCTCTCTCTCTCTCCCCCTCCCTAAAGAAGTCTAGACTTTCTGAATAAAACAATTTCCATTTTACCCCTTCTTTTGTGCTTGAGAAAGAAGAGGTGGAGCACACTGAGTTGCTTTTTGTAGTGGTGTGAGGTGAGGGTCCAGTTCCGCCCTTTTCTGGCATGAGGGACTCCACCGTCTAAGAACCAGTTTTGAACAGGCATAGTTTCTCTGCTAGATAGCTTGGTACTCGCGCCCACACCTCACCAGCCTCAGTGGCCCGGGCTTCCTCTGTCTGACCGCCCTGGGCGCCCTTTGTACCCTGCTATACTGTTGACAGCGACGCTCTGCGGCGAGCTTTCAAGTTGAAAGTTGGGCCTTGGATTCTGCTATTCGTCAAGACCGCTGTCCTTTCTGCTGATGAAGATGACTGGTATCTGGAAAACCTTTCCATCGGCCCTGAAGGGAACTTGGGGCAGCCCCAAAGTCCTGATGTCTAGCTTCCCTGTTGGTGCACACTGAGTCCTCCCACTTGTTTCCTCTCTCTCCATTTCTCTCTCTTCGCAGTGTGCGGTTTTCAATGAACACGGCTTTAACTGCCTTGGTTAAATCCAACACTTAATTCCTTTCAGGTTATCCACAGCACGAGTCCAGAAACGCAAATGATCTCTGTGTCCATCTGTGTCCTGAAAACTACTGGATTTAGTAGTTCTAGAAGCTCTCCTGTACATTCTTTGGGATACTCCCTATACAGGATCACAGTACATGTAATTAGAGATAGTTTCACTAATTCCCTATGATTTGGGTCTCTTGTTTCTTGTCCAGTCACTCTGGCTAGACCGCCATTACAATGCTGCAGAGCAGAGGGAGAGAGGACATCTTAGCTTGACCTGTTAGAACCAAATGCATGAGTGGGGCTTGAACAGCAACCATCAACATCTCACCATTCCACACATCGTCAGCTGCCTGACATTATTTGAGATTCAGCTGCTCCCGCTGCAGTACGGTCGGTCCTCTTCAGGACATGGTGTGGTTTCTGACAGGCTGCTGACCCTGAATTCTTACTTAAACTCACATGCCCTTCTTGCTAGTGACTTGGGATAGGCCAGCCTGCCAGAACCTGCGTCCACATCTGAAAGACGAAGTCACTACAACTTGTCCTCCTCACTGGGACATTTCTGAGCAATTGTGAAGTACTGTCAAGTGACAGTTACAAGGGATCTAGTGAACCTGGCCACCAAAATAATGATCTCAACTTCTTGCCTATAACCAAAGTTTTTAATAGGACACTTTAACAAAATGTGGCCAGGTAAGCAAATGAAGACTATGTTACCTCACTCTGTTCCTAGCCTGCATTACTGAGACTAGTCTTTAGTAATTCATCTCCAAAAAAGATAAGTGAAACCCCAAAATCAAAAATAAAGATTTCCTTACTAATAAGCAATTATCTTTAACAGAACTACTTGAGAAATTTTTCATATAAATTATGTATGTATATTATATCATTACATATATATATATATAAACATAAGAAAAGAAGGAAGTGGTATTTTTAGATTCT